CCCACGAATTCATTAAGCCATAATTAGCCATGATCATCGGTGAGACAGAATATAGCGATCCAGGAGAAGTTATATTGAGCTTTGGGATGCACTTTTGGGTCTGCCCTCTGGTTTGTTTTATAGCTTTTTGTTTTAAAATAGATCTTTCATTCATCTGGTGGCTGCTGTTTCTCTACCTAACCCTTCCAGCAAGCAGGGTCCCAGCTGTCCCGGTGCTGGTTGTGGCCCTGTCCCGGGGACTTCTGGGAGAGAACCACTCACCCCAGAGCACACCAGTTAGGAGGGCCTAGGCGTTCCTGTAAAGAGGTTCAGCTTCGTCTGTCTTCAAGATGGCCCAAAACAAAGCATCACCCTGTATCTTGGGGGGTGTATCAAAGGAAACCGGGCAAAACATTCAAAAGTAGAGACAGTGTGAGGCACAATCTTATAATAACTGGGAAATGTATCAACAGACTCATGAGTTTTCTTTGTATTTGGTTTAATTTTGTTTTTGTTTTTTCTGCTTCCTTAACTTAGAGAGAGAATAGTCATAACGTTATTGTATTATACATTATGAAGCCTGACTATGGGAAATGCCTGGGCCCTTTTAACTGGCATGCTCTGGGATGGGTGGTACTCTCAGAAGTCCATGGAGAGACACTGCAAGCACTCTTCAAAGGGGTGCTGCTTCAGCACACCCGGGGTCCCCCAGAAGGGCTTCTCTCACCACTCTGTCAGCTGATGAAGTCAGGGAATTAACTTCGACCAGCGGCCTAAACTGGGGACTTACATAGTTACCAGGTAATGGCACAGAGCAGTGGCACTGAGATCTAAGCTCAGGTTCCATTGCTGTGGGAACCTATCCCCCGCCCCATCCCCCCCACAGTGACTGTGTGACTGTACCAGCTTAGCCATCCTGAAGCCATCACATCAGCTCTTTCGGGGGCCACAGAGAGATGGGTCATCTAGTTTCCGTTTCCATAAAGGAAACCCAGGTTTGAGTTCCAGACGCCGGAGGCAGGGCGTGCAGCATCCCGGAGACTTACCTGTCTCTTGCATCTTATCTTAGTCTCTCCAGATAAGTGCCTCGAAGTGCGTCGTGGGCCCTTGTTGTTTATATTTGTCACGGTCACTGGAACTTGGTTAGTACATGAATCATTGCCTCGAGCTGGGCTTTATTGTGGCTCTTTTAAGTGTGGCCTGGTCCCTGTTGAGAGTAGCCTTCTGTTATCTATCGGTGGACTCATCTCTTGGTTGGGCTCTTGCCATTATGTTATTAATATCACTGGATTTAAGGAAATCTACTTAGCTAATAAGTATTTCGGAGGCTACTTTTATGAGGTTCTAGATTGGGGTGCCAAGTTGTTGGAAGCACACGGGGTGTGGAGTGAGGCTTTGGGTTCCATTTACTAGTTCTGTGTCTTTGAGACTGTTTGGTATCTCAGCCTGTGAAGTTTCCAGAACTCCATCACTGTTGGTTTTCTCTCCTTATGACAAAAATGAGTGTTGTATGAATGGATATGGATTTCCTTGACTTTATCAGGCCACAGAAGTCTACCTAGATTTTCGGGGTGGGTGAGCTAACCCCCTTTCCTCAGGGGGGACCACTCCCAGCTGCTGATGGGTGTGCCACCATCCGTCCGGGTCACCCTTGCCAGTCGCAGTGAAGAGCAGCTGCAAACAGCCGTTCGTTATAAGTCACTGTTGCTCTACCAAAATTTCAAACTAAAATATCTCTTTAAACCACATGTTTGCTCATCTTAAAGAGTTGGATTATAAACTGCTGGAAGCCAGGGACCACTATCCACCCTGTCTCACTGGCAGTGGATTCAGAGTGTAATTGAGTCTGGAGAGGACGGGCTGACAGATGCCAAGAAGGGACAACCCACACAGTGGGCAGGCGCCTTCTCTGCTTGCCCAGCCAGCCTGAGGCGCCCCTTCTCCCCAACCTGCAGCACGTGGCCCAGGTATTGTGCCGCTGGGGTTTAGGCGTGTCTGGCCTGCGAGCCCTCTGTTTGTAGGGGGGACTGCGGAGTCTCCTGGGAGACTCTTCCTTCTAATCCTCACGATCTCAGCCAGAAAAGGAAAGGGAAGTGTGATTTCGAGGACTGGATAGACTTAGTTTTTTCAGTGGTTCACATTCTGAAGTCTGGGCAGGAGCAGAGGATGGGCAGGGAAGGAGGTGTGGGAAGGTTGAGGGTGAATAGGGACAATTGGTGAAAACGGAAATGGTGGTCTCACTTTAAAAACACCTTAAGACTTTAGAGTAAAGTAAATGGCTTTGGCACCACCGGGAAAGCTGCTGTCTTACAGAGCCTGGATGGAGAAACGTCCCCCACTGTGCGCAGAGCACAGCTGAATTTGGGTGCCTCGCTGCCAGCAGGAGCACCTGTGGAGCGGAGGTGCCCAGCAATGGTGGCGGCCGTCACTCACAGATGTGGCTCTTTAGCAAGCAGCCCAGGAAACAGGGAGGCCCCTTGCCATAGTTTAGCTGGCATCAACCACCTTATTACCTGGTGCCATGGGAAGTGCTGGAATAAAAAAAAAGGGAGGGGGGAGGGTGGTGCACGTGGTCCATCCGGGTCTTTCCTGTGTGCTCACTTGTCTGTCTGCCCCAGGACTTCCAGAAAACGTCAGAGAGAACCCAGCAGGGCTTTGGGGCTGGCACAGATAATGGTTACTAACATGCGTGCTCCTTCCGGCCCCAGCTCAGCTCTGCAAAGGAGAGCTGCCAGGAAGTGGGTGTGGGGTGGGTCACTCAGCTCTCAGCTTAGAAAAGGCAGCCGCGCAGGGGAGAGAGTGGGTGCTCTTGGGAGGTTCTGGGAGGAGAGAGAAAAAGGGCAATGAGGAGAAATACTTTGTGCGTCCTGTGATCACTTATTGCAAATGTTTTCTGTCTTCCAGCCTTATGGAGGTATAGCTAACACATAAAATTGTAACACATTTAAAGAGTACAGTGTGATGATGATTTGATATACATAAACACTGTGAAAGGAATTCTCACACTGAGTTAATACATCTAATACCTCACATATTTACCTTTTTATTTTAAATTTTTTTTTGTCAGAACATTAAAGTTTTACTCTTGTAGCAAATTTCAATTACACAAAACAGTGTTATCACTATGGCCACCATGCTGGACATTAGATCCTTAGACCTTATTAATCTTACAGCTGGTAATTTGTACCCTTTTACCAACCTCTTCCTGTTCTCTCCACCTCCTAGCCCCAGACAACTACTTTTCATTTTTCTACTGTTTTTTCTGAGTTTGACTTTTTTTTAAATTTTATTTTACATAATCCTGGTATTTGTCTTTCTCCACATGGCTTATTTCACTTAGTATAGTGCCCTCCAAGGTCACTTATGTTGTCACAAACGACAGGATATCTTTAAGTAGAATTTAAGGCAGTCATGCTATCATTATTTCTCAGCTGTGAGAAATGCACAGAACACTTTCAAAGACTTAATCGGGTCTCAACGACATGTGATTATGTTTCTAGAAAACCACAAAGCAACAAATTTACAGCCAAGTCCTTAAAAATCTTCATATAAAAGAATTTCAATGAATGATATTAATGGGATGCATGACTTTGTTTTGCTTGAGTCAAAATCATGCACAGGGCGAAAATACTGTGGTTGGGACCACATACAGATATATGGGTTCAGCAAGCGTCCCCTGCGTGTGCTCAGGATGGCGCCCATCTGTCCCCACTCTTAGCCATTTAACTGCGGAAAGCAGTGTCGCCCTCCAGCCAGCTAGTCCTTAGCTGGTTTACACCCAGGAGACACCTTCCAGTGGCACTTGCGGGGAGAAGCTGCAACCCGTAGCCCCCCCCCCCCCCCCCCCCCCCGCCTGCCCTTCAGGCCCTGAAAGTTATTCAGGAGATAAATGGCACCCAGGGGCAACTTACCTGTGAAGGGTTAGTGTTTCCCAGTGAACTCTTCTGCCTTTCTCAAGTCACATCATAGCGTGAAACTCTTTGAGACTCAAGGAAAAGCATCTGCTTGCAAAATCTTTCCACTCTGCCTTGCGCCTTGGGCTTGGGGAGGAGGGGAAGAGCTCATGTAAAATTCATCTCTGACACTCTGATTCAGGAGGGTGTGCTGTAAACTCCTTGCCTGCTGCGTGCTGTGTACAGGGTTTGCCAGGAATTTCGCCACCTGCTCTCTGTGATCTGAAGGTACTCAGAGCAGAACAGACAATTCCCATCCCAAGCCCTCCCCTTGAGTAAGATTATGCCTGGTCCAGTGTTAGGGGTAGGACACTCCTTTTGCTCCTGCTCCCTGTCTCTTCCGAGAGAACTAACAGAGCCGTGTCGGAGGCTGGTTCCGAGAGCCTGGCTCCGACCCTGTGCGGGGAGCAGGCTGCTTGACTCTCATGTTCTGGCTTCACTCTCATGTTCTTGACTCTCATGTTTTGGCTGGGGCGGTGCCCGGAGCCCCCAGAGGCCTCGGGCTGCAGGTGTGCGGCTGTGTGCCTCCCGGCCACGCTGGTTTGCCCTCCTTCTCTCTTTCTTCAAGTCTCGGTGGAGTGCGGCTCTGTGAGAGCCGTGTCCTTTCCAGTCAGGGCCGCCGCCTCTGCTCATCCTCTCATGTTCTCTGCTCGGCATTTCCCTCCTCTCCTTGCGCTTCTTCTTTCTCACACATCTTCGGTGTTTCTCTCCTTTGGGCAAATGAATTCCCTGTGTCACCATCACCAGCCGGTCAGAATGGCCTTTCTGCTTTCCCCCCAGTGGCTGACCCACAAGTCCTGAGGCATCAGGGGTGATTGGGGAAGGCGGGAGTTGGGAGGACAGCGGGCGTTCACCTCGTAGAACACCACCAGAACTGGGTAGCTGTGGAAGCCACTAATTTGAGCCCCAGGAGGCACTGGTGTCCCCTGTCCTTCCATGGGGGACTGTCCCTGCGTTCTCTCTTCCAATTCAGACATGAAGTCACGGCACCTGCCCCGGAGCTGGGGGCAGACCCCACGGCCTGTGTCCCCTCTGAGACGCCTCATGGTTCTGTTCCTTTACCCGCAGGGCCCTCCTCCAGCAACTGCAGAAGCTGCAGACTCTGGTGATGGGCAAGGTCTCTCGCACTTGCAAGCTGGCCGGCACGCAGACTGGCACCTGCCTCATGGTGAGTTTCCCAAAGAGACATGCCATAACCGCCCGCCCACTCCCCAGTCTGCATCTCCCCAGCCTGCCAGGTCCGGGGGCCGTGGGCCTGGTCCGTCTGCCGGCCGGTGGGGGGAGGCTCTCCCCGGGCCTTCCGGGGCTGTGGGCGGAGAGGGTGCTCTGTGGACCTTGGGGCTGACACCCCCGTGTTCTCCCTCACCTGCAGGTGGTTGTGCTGTGCTTTGCTGTGGCGTTCGGCAGCTTCTTTCAGGGCTACGGGCCCTATCCTTCTGCCACCAAGATGGCCCTGCCCAGCCAGCATTCCGTGCAGGAGCCGTACACCGCCTCTGTGGGTAAGGCCGCGCTCGGCATGCGGGGAGGGTCTCCGTTTCATTCCTCTGGAGCTTTCTAGAAGCTCACCTTCCTGAAGGGGGTCTTATCTGAACGTCATTTTAGAAATGTGATGAAAGTGTAGTTTCTCCCCTGAGGGGCGGGAAGGGGCAGGGGAGGGTCATGCCCCCTTGCCCGGTTTCCCCTGTGCCCCTCCCCCATTGGGCTGGGCACCGCTGGGAATCCTGTAGATCTCAGCGGAGCACACTTTGCAAACACGTCTCACGACCGTGTTCCCTGGCACACTGTCGCTGCCCCAGCCCAGGAGGACGTGCCGTGCCTTCTGGTGTCTCCCTAACGCCCGGTCCTCTGCTTTGCCCCCAGTGAGGTCCAGGAACCTGCTCATCTACGAGGAGCACTCTCCCCTGGAGGAGCCGTCCAGCCCGGCCTCGGCCGGGGAGCTCGGCCGCTGGGACAGAGGCTCCTCCCTGCTCCGGGCGTCGGGGCTGGAGTCCAGGCCGGACCTGGACCTTCCCCATTTCATCATCTCCAACGAGAGCAGCCTAGAGAAGTCCGTGCTGTGGGAGCTCCAGCAGCACCTGTGAGTCCGCGGACACAGACCCCCACCCTCCGCTGCGCTGGTCAGGGTCAGGGTCAGGTCAGCAGCCTCGCTTGCGGGCGGGGACTCTCTCACAGGCCTAGTCAGTCCTTCTGCTCTTTCGTGACCGATTTCCAGGTCCTGGGACTCTGGAGGGTGTATTATTTGCCAGTAGCTGACCTGGGTAGAGATGGGAAAACGTCTGCCATGTCATTGGGGAGCTGGCAGCGCCGGCTCCATGATGTGGGGAAAGGGCTTGTCCCTTCCTCACTCTCTCCTCGTCCCCTCAAAGCCACATGAGTAAACACACAGTCAGCTCAGAAGGATGCTTGCCATGCAAATGCAGCCCAAGGCACCTTCTCTAGCTTCCTTCCAGCAAACATATATGTGATGCTATATGTCATTATGTAAGTAAACATGCATGAGTTGTAATTACATATTTCTGTTGAGGGCACCATTGAAAAGACACGTGCATGTTCGTGCTTCTGTATTGAAAGTAGCACATTTGGCTCCAGTTCTCCATGAGTTGTTGCCCTTAGTCACGGAGAAACGTCCCTTTGTAAACATAAAGGCGTTTAACAGGTGCCGGGTGTTGCTGAGTGAGGGGTGGTGCCTGGGAGGCAGACGGCACGGGAGGGGTCGGCACGCTCACTCCCGATTGCATGGCGTGGTTGGGGAGGAGCTGAACGGCCTCTGCCCCAGGCCTCCCAGGAATGACGCTATTCCAACAGGTGCAGAGAGATTCCACTTCTAATTCTTCAGCTTTCTCCCCGTAATGCTGCCGGAAGGCTCCTGGTGACATGTACCTTTACAGACTTACATCACACCTGCCTATGTAATGTGTCCTGGCACCTAACCATTTAAGCACTAAGCAAATGAGATACATAAACCGCATTAATTACTTTAAGAGGTTATTATTATTAATTACAGAGAAATTGTAGGGCTGTGGACACCCCACTGCTTGAGTATTTGGTTCCTGACACAAGTCACCTCTCCTCCTAGCTCAGCTCTCCAGGCCGATGGAAATATGCTTGTTTGGGATGTCTCCTGGGCATGGGCCTGCCTGTTCCTCCTCTGCATGCCTAGGACTCTGGGCTGTTACACAATCCTGTCTAATAAAGAGCTAATATGCTAATTAGACTGGGTGGCAGAACCACCTTTCAGAATGACCAGTGGGTAGGAGGCGGGGCCATGGAGCAGCGAGGCAGCCTGGGCTGTGAGGGCCGAGCACCTTGCATGAATTTGTGCATCGTGCCTCTAGTTTAACATAATGTAGTTATTTTCTGTTGTGTATTTATTATTTCCAGTTACTTATTTGGGGCTTTAGGGAGTCTTTATTGGGATTAGTTGCTATGCTAGAATAGGGATCAGCTTTATCCTTCTGTTTTGTCCTTCCCAGGGTCTAGTCATCCTCAGCCAATACAGGACTTTAAAGGGCCCTCAATAGATGCAGCACTTTAAAGCGGTGTGCAACAGATCAGTCTGAAACTGCCACCTTTAGTCTCTGGGCGGGGGTGTCTCCCCTTGGGGCGGGGGGAGAATGGGAGGCCAGTGGTGACGAGGACAGTGGCCAGGCTGGCGGTGGGAGACTTTGGGAACAGAGAATTGCCGCTGGGCGGGAAGGAGCAGGGGCACGCTCGGGCCAGCCTGCAAAGTTGTAGTCAAGGCCTGATCCTGCCTCCAGCCAGCGCGGCTGAGACTGCTCTTCCTCCCGATGCCTTCACAGGGTCAGTGCCCAGCTGGAGGGGAACGAAACACTAAACGTCGTCGAACTCGACAGGAGAGTGAACGCCACCTTCTGAGCGGCGCCACCACCACCCTCCTCCCTCTCTCGGCTCTGCTTTTACTTCCCAAACCGCCTTTGTTTTGAGCTTTTCCTTATTCCCACTCAACACGGATGAAGACATGGACGAGCAAGCAGTCGTGGCTTTGGCCCGAAGGACGGCCTGCGATTTCCACCAGCGGTGAGAGCCGTCCCCCTGCAGCCCCGAGGCCCTCCATGCTGGGGGAGCCGGCATCTCTCCCCCCCTGCCGCCCCCTGCCTTAGGAGATCACGCTGGGGTCAGGCATGGGAAGGTGGGCTTGTTTCTGCCGAGAGTGCTGAGAATCGACTACCTGCTTCTCACCTGGGGTGTGACCCCCTCTTTGAAGAAGACAGCTCTTCTTCATCGGAGACCCCACGCTCTGGCCACAAAGAGCTCAGGATGCCTGTTGGGATCTGGCGAAGCAGTGACTGATGTCCCGCCTCCCTCAGCCTGGTCTCCCGTGTGTCCGCCCGTGTGTCCGCCCGTCAGCCCTGGAAGTGCCAGTGTGTCCAGTGAGCGCCGCGCCACCCTGCTCGGTCCCAGCCCTCCAGCCCGTGCCCGCGGTCCTCGCTCTGGGCCGGGGCCCCTCACCTTCTCAGGCCGCAAGTGCAATGCCTGAAGGAATCAGGCTTCTCTACTCCAGGCGAACCTGCCCGTCTTGTTGCTTGTAGGACTTCTCCAGAACCCGTGTTCCCTCACCATTAGATCCGCCTCCTGGCTTCTCCTCCCCGTTTGTAAATAGTATTTATTAGCTCGCGAGGCTTCCCGCTAGCAACTGCCGAAGAGATCCTCCCGCCGAGCCTGCAGAGTCTTGGGTTGGACTTGGGCGCTAGGAGGGCAGCCGAGGCTCTGGGATTCCCAGTCCTCCAGGCCCCGTTTCATTTCCTTTCCTTCTCTTCGTTCCTGGAGGCCTGTCCCTGTGGGTGGGAAATCCCCGGAAGCGGGTTCTCCCTAAGAATGGACTCCGAGGAAAGATGGCTCCAGCGTGTGATCTGTGGCCCGGACGCCTATTGTCCGGTGCCCAGAGCAGAGCAGGGAGGGCCTGCTGGACACCAGGCGTGTCGGACAGCCTTGCTAGCATGTCTCACCACACCTGCTCCTGGTCCCTCCTCTCCACGTCCCCCTACCCCCACTTTTACCCCCCTCTTCTGCCTCCACACAGGGCTTGGGCCTGAGGCCTGCTCCTGGGGTCGGAGCAGGTGACATTGTTATCTACAGTCTGACCTTGTATAGCCAGGTTTGGCTACTTCGCAGCTCACCCAAAGAGACGTAACCCCACAACCTACTTTTATTTTATTTTTTAATCATTAAAGACACTTTTGTAGTTTTTAAAAAAAATCTCTCCTCTTTCATACAGATAAGACACGAAGTTGCCTTTTTATTGTATAATGTAGAAAGTTTGCCTTAAGTGTTTTTCCATACTTGTAAAAGAATTAGCTTACATTTTGTATTTTGTTTTTAGTAGAAGCTGAAGGGCCTTTAGCTCTCTCTCTCTCTCTCTCTCTCTCTCTCCCTCCCTCCCTCCCTCCCTCCCTCCCTCCCTCCCTCCCTCCCTCTCTCTTCCACATTGTCATTGGAACCTGTACTTAGGAGGGATCAAGCCCACAGCTGGGCCTTTTCCCTATCCATACAGGATTTGGTGTCATTAGCATTGGCTGTTATATCTGGTAAGCAGATCTGTTTGTCTGTCCGGGTACATCTGGGGCTCAGTGTCAGGGTCGCCTGCGTGCCCCTGCTGTGACGGAGAGTGTTCCTGACCGGGGATGGCCAGGTTCTCCTCCACAGTGTGTGAATGCCGGGTCACCACTGCAGTGGTCCTGGTGGCCCTACCGGCCCTCAGCACCGTTCCCACTACCCCTTACACTGGCCAGGGAGGGCTGGGACCCTCTGGGCTGTGCCTCCAGCTCCAGCTTCTCTCTACTCTAGGGGTGTCGAACTCAATCAGAGAAGGGGCCAAAATCTAAAATCCAGCCTAAATCACGGGCCGAATGGTTTACTGAACAGTCATAAACTGTCATTGTGATGGAAACGCAGCGGAGTGCAGTGATGACAGCGCGGTGCGGGCCACATTGCAAGGCCTGGCAGGACGGATTTGGCCCGAGGGCCTTGTGTTTGACACATGTGCTCTACTCCCTTCTCTCCCTTTCTTCTGTCTGGATCCCCTGAGCCTAGCTGGTGTCTGGTAACTGTGGCCTACCACCTACGCATCCCCTGCTGTAAAATGGCATGTAATGATCAGGCAGAGGCAGCCTGGGGAGGGGGAGGGAAAAGGATGAACGCAAACAGTATTTGGATGATGCGAAAGGAAAGGTTCATAGTTGAAGGCAGAAGTGAGAGAATGGCTCCGCCCACCCACCTGTTGCACCAGCGCCAGATGGGGCTTTAAGGTTCACAAATAGCCAGTGTGGGGGACCTGCTGTGTGAGAGCGGAGGGCGAGGGGCAGGGCAGCACACTGGGAGCCTGCCCTCAGAGCCTCGAGGATTTCATTCTCTCTCTTGCCCACCCCTGCTTGACATCACTCTCCCCAGTGCAGAGGTCATGTATCAGAGAGATGTAACTTGAAACCTACGTGATCTGATTAACCAATGTCACCCCAATAAATTTAATAAAAATAAATGAAAACAAATGGCTACACACTCTCCCCAGACCTCTGTCCAGCAGGGCATTTTCTCTGAGAAACCGTTCTTCTTCTTCTTTTTAATATATATTTATTGATTTTTTTATAGAGAGGAAGGGAGAGTGATAGAGAGTTAGAACATCAATGAGAGAGAAACATCGATCAGCTGCCTTCTGCACACCTCCTACTGGGATGTGCCCGCAACCAAGGTACATGCCCTTGATCAGAATCAAACCTGGGACCTTTCAGTCCATAGGCCGACGCTCTATCCACTGAGCCAAACCGGTTTTGGCGAGAAACCGTTCTTCTGATGAGAATCTGTACCTAGAGACGGGGACATCAGCTGAGAGCTCAAATGGCCGTTTTAAGGGGCTCCTAGAACTAATATTGCTGTTGTGTTGAGAAAAACATCTGCCATCCACTCCCTGCTTTGGGGAGTGAAGGAAATGAAACACGCTTTTAGGAGGATGTAATGAGGTCAGGAAACAGGAGGCGTTGACAATTAGTGGATGGGTCCCAAATAATTCATGGCTGTGGGCACGTTTCCGTTAAGCCCAGTTGTTTCCCCCACAGCCTGGACTGCAGACTGGTCAGCCCCTGGTGAGCCCTGGCGATTTCACATGGTGGCGAGCGTTGACTTCCAAATTTCAGTTTCAAATTTCAGTGCAACCATAATCCACAGAGAACACATACCTCACTTGTATAGATGTTAATTCTATTTTTCATCATGCAAGCAGCTTTTCCTCTTTCCTTTCTTTGATTACTACCAATGAAGGAAATTGTTACAAACAATCAGAGAACAAGTTACCTGTTCCTGGGTGAGACCCCAGAGACCCACACTCCCCAGCATGGTTCTCGACTTTGCACTCAGAAACGGACACTGGAAATGAGAGGCCTGGGTGTGGGTTTAAGAGGAATCCCTGTAAGGTGTGGAGATCTGGGCCTCCTGCACATGACGTGTTCTAGGAACATCTCACAGCTGAACTGCGTTGCTCCTTCAGGGCAGCAGGCAGGGTGAGGTTCGACCCCAGTGCAGGCGCAATGAGACCTGTTGGTTTATACCAGTGGCTTTGATGTGGAGACCCGATTTGTGGATCGTCAAAGCAGCTTTTAGCTCAAGTTACTTACCAGCCAATTATATAAACACCATGTTTTTTAATTCCTAAATCTCTCAGTGTAGCCTGGATGCCAAAAGAGGTCTGTGAATCTCACGTGCCCATGGAATAGGAGTATCAATTGATTCATCTCTATTCAGGTAGCGAGTCGGAATCCAGAATTTTTGTCCCAAGTGTTTTATGAAGAACTGGCAGCACTTCATGGCTCCTTCCTCTTATGTCCTCTGATCGAGCAAAAGCACAAAGACTGGACCTCTCTGTCTCTCCTATCAGAGCCCGCTCCTCTGAACACACCTGTCCTGTGAGTGTGCATTTGAGCATGCTGCACAGAGACATCCTGAGAGGAAGTGGGCCGTTCATGCTGGCCTTGCCGACATGGGGAGGCTGGAGATGGGGAGGAGGCTTGCAGCCTCCCCTGTGGGCCAGAAGGCACTCATCTGCTGAGCCCAGTCTTTGAGAACCTCTGTTAGACACCAGCATGTCTGCCTGCAGTGCCTGCAGACGGTGTGACTGTTAGCAGGTGGTGCCCCAGTGACAGTCATTTTATTTGAATGCTTTTTAGTGGAGACAATTAGGAAAAATATGAAAGGATACCCCCCCCCCCTGCCCTAGGTGAGAGCAGGGGGCTGTGAAATGGGGGCAATGAAGGAGCAACAGACAGATTTTAGATTTTTCATTCATTCATTCATCCATTCATTCATTCATTCATTCCCTCCTGAGGAACAGAGCTGCATGAGGCCCTGGGGAGTGAGGGAGGCTAGGAAAGATCATTAATCAGTAGCTATTCAAACACACAAGTGCTAGGATTCTTCTTCTCTGTCTGTCTGTCTGTCTCTCTCTCTCATATTTCTTCCTTGTCTTAAGACACTCCTTTGTGCCTTATAGAGGAGCCCAGGATTACTGAGGACTCTCCTTCTTGGGAGATGTTATATATAGCCTTGTAATATTTTATTGAAGTGTGGGTGGGAGAAATAACTTTTTCTGAAGGCTCAAAAATGGTTTCCTAAAAGTGAACAATAACCAGATGTGTACATCAGCAGAAAAGAAGCAGAGTTATGTCCACTAGAAAAATCCCATTTTGTAGAGGTGCAATTATATCCAAAAATGGCCTGCCTGGATTAAAGGTATTATAAATCCACAGAGCAGAACATTTTCTCGATGGGAAGGAACCTGGCCCATTTGGGGATTAATGTGCGATGCCTCCAGGGCCAGAGGGTCAGTACTTAGCGCAGGCAAAATCCACATGTTGTTTTTTGGTCGTTTTGGGAGGCCTACACTTCAGGAATGCTTTCTTTTCTCCTGGATTCGAGAAAGAAGGGGGAAAATATTTTTTTGAGCACTTAACAAGTGCTGGGTGCTGTGCTAAATAAGCTTTAAGTCTTTTCATTTTATAGACGGAGTAAACAAGGGCCACTGGTTGCTCTGAGCTGGATATACAAACAGCTAAGGGGCATTGGAAGTGCAGCAGTTGGAGCAGATTCCGGGGTGTGACCACGGTCAACGTCTAAGTTCTCCGGGCAGGACGCACTGTGCTGCTTGCTGCACTGGCCCCGCTGAGCCAGTCCAGAGGGGATGTCTCCCAGGGGGGCCTCTGCTGTCTTTTTCATCCCATCTTCTGTGAGTTCTGGCACACAAGCTCGGCATCCTAAACGCAAATGAGATTTGGGGTTCACTGCTCCTGTCCTTTGTTCACCAGCGGGGCGAGAACATGAACTTGGGGCACCGTGGACCTTCAGCCTAACACTGCTTAGAAAAGATCCCTTTGGGATAAAACGCTTTGTGAGTCTGTGGAAAATACCAGCCCTCTGACACATTGTGAGTGACCCTTTTCAAACGACGCGGAGCCGACCCTGAACGGTACAGCTTTAACGTCTGTGCTGACAGCTGGGCTTGCCTCTCGTTTGTAACAGGTTATGTAGACCAGTGGTGTTTAAGTCGAAAGACATTGCAAGTCTATCGTTGGTTGTATCGTGCTGTTCTTTTCAATGACTTGTATTCTTTATCATAGCTAAGTCAATACCAAAATATAAATGCTTTGTAACTTGTACTTAGTTTAGGGGGACAAGTAAAACGAATTGGAATTGTTATGCTTTTTGTATTTCCATTTCTTGCAAATAAAAATATTTTTTTTCTTACGTAGTAAATTGTTGTCCAGTCTAAAACCCTGGTGATCTGGTTTTAAGAGCAGTTGTTTGGGTGAGCGTGGATTTGCATGTATGTGCCTTACCCATTCTTCTCCCCTGTTCTAGCTGAGCCAAAAGAAGCCTCGAACAGCGTTCTGAATGGGGCCTAGCACTGAATCCAAGGCTGGCTCGGTTGGAGGCATATGGAGAAATGCAATTGTTTTCTCAGTCAGTCCCAGGAAGGAAAACAGGATTCTCTAGAGATGTCTAGCCTGAGTGCTATTTCCATTGTCTCCTCTTAGCTATTCCCGAACCAGGTTTCAGAAGTCTGTGCATCGGAATATGCTTTCCCGGTTTTGAGAACAGGGGCGTGGGCTTGAGCCAGAAGAGAAGGGCAACTTCGTCAACTTAAAGAGGAGGCCTGCCACAGATTCATGCTCCAGAAATTCCGATGAAATGGTGGGTAACGGTCA